GCATGCGAACCCTGCCACTGGGGCCTTCGGTGGAGCTACCTATGGGGCCACGAAACGCGTGAGGGGTGTGCCAAAGTGAGGTGGGGGCGGCATGCGAACCCTGCCACTGGGGCCTTCGGTGGAGCTACCTATGGGGCCACGAAATGCGTGAGGGGTGTGCCAAAGTGGGGTGGGGGCGGCATGCGAACCCTGCCACTGGGGCCGTCGGTGGAGCTCCCTGTGGGGCCACGAAACGTGTGAGGGGTGTGCCAAAGTGAGGTGGGGGCGGCATGCGAACCCTGCCACTGGGGCCTTCGGTGGAGCTACCTATGGGGCCACGAAACGTGTGAGGGGTGTGCCAAAGTGAGATGGGGGCGGCATGCGAACCCTGCCACTGGGGCCTTCGGTGGAGCTACCTATGGGGCCACGAAACGTGTAGGGGTGTGCCAAAGTGGGGTGGGGGCGGCATGCGAACCCTGCCACTGGGGCCTTCGGTGGAGCTCCCTATGGGGCCACGAAACGTGTGAGGGGTGTGCGGAAATGGGAACTAATGGCGATGGCGATGATGATGATGATGATGATGATGATGATGATGATGATGATGATGATGATGATGATGATGATGATGATGATGATGATGATGATGATGATGATGATGACGATGATGATGATGCTGGTGGTGATGACGATGATGATGCTGGTGGTGATGATGACAGGATGGTTGGGAACTAATGGCGATGGCGATGATGATGACGATGATGATGCTGGTGGTGATGATGACGAGGATGATGATGATGATGATGATGATGATGATGATGATGATGATGATGATGATGATGATGATGATGATGATGATGATGATGATGATGATGATGATGATGATGACGATGAGTATGATGACGGCGATGGGAGGAGGGAGGAGGGGGGAGAGGAGGAGGAGGAGAGGAGAGGAGAGGAGAGGAGACGCGGGGCGCTGTCTCTTCAAAACGAGGACCCAACACCACAGGGTGGTTGGGAAAAACAGGGTGCGAGCCCTGGGAAGGGCACTTCAATGAAGAAAAAGCATTGTGCACCGGACGGGGGGATCAACAATAATTATTCTTCAGAAATGAGAGTTTAACAACAATAACAACAACAGCAACAGCAACAACAACAACAACAATCAGCTTACGACTGTTCATTATTACCTGCTCGAGTGTCATCCAACGTGTATTTCCCAAGCCCTCGATACCCGCCCTCTTCGTCTTCGATCGAAACCCTTCGGGGAGGTACATTTTTTTCCCCTGCAGGCCGGGCCCGGGCAAGCGGCGGGACGACCGCGGACCGTCGGCTTGGCCAGCGGCAGCGCTGATCGGCGGCAGCCCGACCCCAAGAGGGACGGACGACGACGGCGACGACGGCGACGACGAGTGAAAGCAAGAGCGACCGCGAGAACGACAGCGGGGCCACGAAAGGCAGGGAGGGGGCCACGAAGGGCGACAACGGGGCCACGAAGGGTATGCGTATGGGGCCACGACGGGCGCGAACGAGCGGGGGCCACGAATGGCTGATAGTGCGTGGTCACGGTGGGCAGCGACGGGGCCAGTGAGGTTAGCAACGGGGCCGCGCAGGAAAACGAATGTGCCACAAATGGCGACAGCGGGCCCACGAAGGGCATGCATACGGAGCTACGACGGGCGCGAGCGAGCGGCGGCCACGACGCGTAATTACATTAGGCCGCAGAGGGCAAGAACGGGGCCACTGAGGGCAGCAACGTGGCCACGAAGCGCAGCGAGGGGGCCACGGAGGGCGACGCAGCGGGGCCACGAAGCGCATGCATATGGGCCACGACGGGCGCGAACGAGCGGGGGCCCATACATACCACGAAGGGCTGCAACGGGGCCGCGAACGGCAGCGACGGGGCCGCGCAGGGGTGCAACGGGGCCACGAAGGGCAGCGACGGGGCCACGAAAGGCTGGGGCCACGAGAGGCATCGAGGGGGCCACGAAGGGCTGCAACGGGGCCACGACAGGCAGCGAGGGGGCCACGGAGGCCTGCAACGGGGCCACGAAGGGCAGCGACGGGGCCACGAAAGGCTGGGGCCACGAAGGGCAGCGAGGGGGCGGGCCACAAAGGGCTGCAACGGGGCCACGAAGGGCAGCGACAGGGCCACGAAGGGCTGCAACGGGGCCACGAAAGGCAGCGAGGGAGCCACGAAGGGCTGCAACGGGTCCACGAAAAGCAGCGAGGGGGCCACGAAGGGCTGCAACGGGGCCACGAAGGGCAGCGAGATCCCGATGTCCAAATAAGCTGTGAGGGAATACGAAACATCGGCGCGACCCATGGGTGGCTGAATGTCGGGGGAGCGGCGCTTGAGTAAAATGCAGGCAATTCCAACACAAAAGCACGATTCTTGAGCACATTGCAAGCAAGTCTCCAGCGAGAACGGGAGTCCAAAGCGCCGAGAGAGCGATTCCTGAATATATTGAAGAAACCCCAGGCGAAAGCGCAATTCTTGAGTAAATTGCGAGGGGGTCAGGCGGGAGCGGGGGTCCTGGCTAGATTCAAATGAATCTCATACGCGAGCTGTTGTTGTTGGTGCTGTACTCTGGGGGGCAACAGCGCAGTTCAAGCCGAATGATTTTCCATGATAAGATAAGGTTGCGAGCCCCGGGGGAAGCACTTAAATAGAAAACGCAATGGCCCCCAGATCAACAATACTTATTCGTCAGTGGTGAGAGCCCAACAACAATCACAGCAACAACAACAACAACAACAACAGCACTCACAGCAACAACGCCAACAACGACACCACCAACAACAACCACAACAACAGCATACAACAGCAAACAACACCAACTACAACAACAGCAACAACAATGAATCGCATCGCTGAATCCCACGTCGGCCACGCACCCAGGGACAGTGTATGACCGCTCGGCACCCTCACTCTGATTAGCGTTTACCACACCACGGTGTACGGACCCCGGCCCGCTCGCGCCGACCCTCAAGAGTTCCGCTCCGGCAGACTTGGGCGTTCCTCTCCACGCCGCTCCGCTCCCCAAAGCAGCCGACCAGGAAGTTCCAAGTGAAATGCGGCCCCAGAGCTCGTCGTACTTCTGTTTGCGGGCTGCGTGCCTGGACAAGAAAGATGGTCTCTATGGGGGCGGCGCGAGGTCGCGAATATACCTGCTCACGTGACTTGTCCTCCCCTCCCCCATTCCAAGCATTCGTCATCTCGATCAGTTCGCGACGTGGGTTTGGGAGTTCTCGAACCTTTCCGAGGGATTTGGTTGTTCGTCGCATATCAGCTATTTGGGCGGCCCCAGAAGATGACAACGGCACACAGGCATCGAAGTCGGCGAAGGATTGCGAAGGCCTTGCGGCCGTTGCCGCCGACCCGGCGACGACGACGACGACGAACACGACGACCACGACGACGACGACGACGAGGACGACGACGGCGACGGCGACGGCGACGGCGATGGCGACGGCGACGGCAACGGCGGCGGCGACGACGCTGACGGTCTGGAGCCCTTCGTGGGGCCCTCTTGGGGACCTTTGGGGCCCTGTGGGGGGCCTGCTGTGCGACTTGTTGGGGGACTCCCTGGTCACTTGGAGCCGCCTCGGAGCAGATCTGGGTCCTTTGGGAGACATCTTGGAAAAACGCAGCACCCCGCAACTTCAGCTAAGAGCGAAGAGGGCGCTTCCGCGGGGGGGAGATCTGGGAGGAAGGGGGGGGTCCGTCCACAGGGGGAATTGAAGGGCGTTTCCACGCGGGGGGCCACCCCCGTGTCCCGTTTGTCCACGGGGGGGGGGCGGGGGGCGACTTCAGTTCTCTTTGTGCCCAGGGGGACCCTCCACGTTGTCCGCGTTGGGAGCCAGGGGGAGGGGAAGAGGGGGGCCCAGGCTTGCAGCGTTGATGTTTGGGGCTTTTGTGCCATTACACCATGGTGACCATGGGTCCCGAAACCGTGTTCTCAAGCAGTGGCGAAGCGTCATGGCTTGCCTATAGGCCCGCCAAAGAAAGGTCTAAAAACCTTGTGGTTTGCACGAAATGTTCGTAGAACCTTTCTGGTTGGGACTGCTTCGTTCTAACATCGGGTCTACGTTCTAAGAACATGGACTTGTTTTCATAGCACTTTGGGGTTCTAAGACCATTTCGTGGTAGGCCTCAAGGAATGACGGGACGGTCGGTCCCTGCTCGGGTTTTGGGAGACTGGAGCAGAGGAACAACCGCAGAGAGATAAGGATGAGGCGTGAGCGCTACGCACTCCTGCCATAGCCGCACGGCACGTCCGAGCCGTTCGCCGAAAAGGCGTCCTCATCCTCATCTGGCCTTGCCACGGCATGCGACGCCCTCTAGTTGCCTGACGGGCAGAGAGCAAACAAACAGTTGGGCAGCTACATGATCGTGTTCTTGTTCATTGTTTTGCCGACCGGCGCGGGCCCTCGCACCCCCGTCATGGAGAAGATCTTGGTTGTTTTTGGCGCCTTGTTTAAGCAGGTGGAGTCTCCCCCATAAGACAGTCTCATGAAGCAGAGGTGGGGAGCCAACCCCCCCTCCCTTCCGCCCTATGTCGAAGTACAGTAAGGAGGGGAAAAAGCACACAGACACAATTTATCGTCGATTCCCAAAAGTATGAGGAAATATGGGAAGTGGGGGGGAAGACAGAAACCTAGAAAATATGTGAAAATATGGGGGATCCTGTTATTTGTGTGTATTTCTTTGTGTGCCCCAGGGCCCCTTCATACAGTAAAAGAACACGTTGACTACTCCTCCCCTTCCTCTCCCTGGCGGTCTCCAAGAGGCACGCAGCACTGGTGAGGCGGGGGGGGGGCGGGCCTTCTGAGAGAGCAGGGAATTGCGTAGGATGGCCCTAAGGCTGAGGCTTCTCGGAAGGCGGGCGGGCTTCTGAGAAGCCCCGCCGTGGCCCCTCAGAAGGCCACCCGCCCCATCCCCGCCTGCGCCCCGCCGAGCTTGGCGGCCAAGAGCTGCCTCGCCCGGCCTCGCCGCGCGCGCCGCATTTGCGCACGCCCAGGCGGGCTGCCGTCGTACGTGGCTTGCCTGGAGCGCGGGTGCCTGGACAGCCCGCGGGGGGAGGGGGTCCCTGGAGGCCAAGCGGAGGGGAAGGTCCTGGGGGGAGGGGGGGGGCTTTCGTGCACTTCTGATGTGGGACGAGGGAAGAGCAGGGGCAACGGGAGGGGGGGAGACAGGCACAGGATCCGCAATCGCCCGTTGATCGCCGATAGGGGTCTGATAGCCCCCCCCCCCGCCCAGGAGCGTTCGGATTCGCCATCGAGGGCCTATCGCCGATCTGTCGGCGATGCATCGCCGATGCCAGGTCGATGTGCCCCCTCCTCATATGCCAGTCCCTCAGGAGGGAAAAAAACAGACAGACACAATTAATCGTCGATCCCCCGGAAAATATTGGAGAATATGGGAAGTGGGGGGAAGACAAACGCGCAGAAAATACGGGAAAATATAGGGAATCCGGCTATACTTGTATGTATTTATTGAATCGCTTCGCTCATTCCGCCGGCCCGTGATATGGCATCGCTGGTTTTTGTCTGTGTGTTCGTTGCCCATGTTGCGCTCTTGGGGGCGGGTGTCGTTCGGACGCGTTGCGTGGGGAGTTTTGATGGTGAAGCAGTTCCCTGGGGGTCGTCTCTCGATGGGGCGAAATAGAGTCGTCGTCAAGATGCTTCTTTGGGGGGCCTCTTGGGGTCTGTTGAGAGGCCGTTCGGGGGCGCCTGGGAGACATGTTTGAAGCCTTCTGGGGCTTCTTTTGGGCCTCCTGGGAGTCTCCTGGGGCCTCTTGGCGACATCTTGGGGCCTCTTGGAGGCCTCTTGGGGCCTCTTTGGGACCTCCTGGGCGCCTTCTGGGACGGAGGGCTCCATTTTTGAGTTCTCGGTATCCCTCCTGAGTCCCTCTTGGGCCCGTCTTGGGGCCTCTTGGTCCGTCTTGGGCGGCACTTGGGCCGTCTTGAGGGCTCTCTTGGGTCGTTTCGGCGCCGTCTTGGGAGCTTCGTGGGCCGTCTTGGAGCGGTCTTGGGGGCCTCTTGGGCCGTCTTGGAGCGTCCGGAAGCCGAAAAAGCCAGAACACAAAAAACATCGAAAAAACAAATGAAAATCAACGATTTTGGCCACTTGGGGCTCTCTTCGGAGGCCTCTTGGAAGGCTCTTGGGGCGTCTTGGAGGCCTCTTGGGCTGTCTTGGGGGCCTTTTGGGCCGTCTTGGGGTCATCTTCGGCGTCTTCGAGCGCTCTTTGGGCGTCTCGGGGGCCTCTTGGGCAGTCTTGGGGGCCTCTTGGGGCACTCTGAGCGCGCTCTGGGGAGCCTGAGAGGCCGCACCCAGAAGGAAAACCATCTCTGAGTAGACTTGGTCGGGCGGCGGTCGGGCGGCGGTCGGGCGGCGACCGGGCGGCGACCGGGCGGCGACCGGGCGTTGGTCGGGGTACTTTTCGCCGGGGGGACCCCCAGGGGCCGCCCCGCGCGCGCGAACTAGACATACTGTTAATACTGTTAACCAGTTACCGGAGATCTTAGCACGCCCTGGCCCGTTGGGCCGGCGAATTTGTGTGTCCCAGGGCCCCTTGAGTCTCCCCCCGCCCCCCGATCGTTGCCCCTTAAAAGAGAGAGAGGGGGGGGGGCCCAGAGGCTGCGGCGGCACAGGGCCGCTGCGCCCGGACCGGAGGCAGCCTGCGCACCTGCGCAGTCTGGCAGAGGCGGCCGCTCGGCCCCGGTCGCCCAGGCCTCGCGGCCGAAGGCCCCAGGGGCCACCACGTACCGGTTTGGGACGTATCCTTTTATCCCTGTGTTTGACATCACCTCACCTCGATGCCGATCTTGAGGATTCCCTCAGTTTCTGGGGGCATATCCCTGAGATTGTCCTCGCTTTTTGCTCGCCCATCTTAGGGATAGGGATACGTTCGAGGCTGGTTAACCACGGCATCCCCCCTCGGCCAGTCCAGGCCTCGGAGCAGAGCCCCTGCTCTCCGAGCCGGGCCTTCCCATGGCGACGAGGGTCGGGAGCATGCAGACGGGGGTCAATGCAAGTTCGGCGGAGGAAAAGGTACCCTGGCCGCTACCCTTGCCTCGCGTGCCCCTTTTCAGGCCTCCTTGGATGCCCTCTTCTCCACCGCTGGATTCGCCTCGAGATTCTGGTCAGAGCGCACCCTGGGAGAGGTCCGGGGAGTCGCGGCGTGGCTACCGTTCGGTTTCCCCAGCAAATTGGGATCAGCCAGAGCGGCGGATCTTGCAGGATCTTGCAAAGCCAGGGTCACATTGACCCGGGCGCGCTGGATCTTCCAGGGTCTTGCGGGATCTCGCAGAGCCCGAGTGACCCGGGCTTGCATTGACCCGGGTCAGTGCGTCCCCGAGAAGGAATCCAAGTGTCTAAGCAGCCGATTGACTTCAACGGCGGCCACATTGTCAAATAGCTGCTTTGGGAACAGGCCTGGGCGGCCAATGAAGTCCGATTATGGATTTGACAGCGGGGACCCACTGTCACATGGGCCATCGGTGGGCAGGCCGAGGCGCGGGGGTTGAGTTCCGATTGCCTCTTTGTCAGTGGGGGCCCACTGTCGAATTGGCGATCGTGGGGGCCGAGTCGCCTGAATTGAGCTCCGATCGCCGTTTGACAATGGAGGACCCCAGTCAAATGGGCAATCATGGGGGCTAGGCCGAGGCGGGGGAAGCTCCGATCGCCCAATTGATAACGGGAATCCCTTTGTCAAGTGGGTCATCGGGGCGCCCGATTGCCCATTTAATGGTGGGATCCCCATTGTCAAACGGGGAGTCTGAAGGGAAGTGTCCCCGACTGCGCGTTTTACAGTGGGGATCCGATGGTCAAACGGGCAAAGCTCGCTCAGCACTTTCCGCTACAATTTTGGCCCCCCTGTCTGAGGAGAAGAATCTCACACGCCTTGAAGACCCCAAAGGGGTCGACGGAGTCCGTGACTGTCCCCAGAGCCCGCTGCTAACCCGTAGAAGGCCTGGCACTTCCACGCGCCAAGGGCGGCCTACGCTCGGGGCAGTTTACCTTTGATACGGTGAGGGTTGAACCTAAGCGCGTGCGCGCAGTACGCGCGAGGTTCTAGAATTTAAACGAATGGCCTTCGGCCCATCCCGCCACCGTGCCTTGGTTATGGGGTATGAGGCCTGTTGGATATTCGTTGGGATCTCGTCGGGGGCCTCTCGGGAGCCTATTGGAGGAAGTTTGGGGCGGAAGGCGCTCGGGGGCCTCTCGGGGGCCTCTCGGAAGGCTCTTGGGGGCCTCTTCTGTTGGGCCTCTTGAGGCCTCTCCGGGGCCACTTGGCGGCTTCTTGGGGCGGAAGGCTTGGATGTTCGCTTCGTGATCCCTCCCTTGGGCCTTTTTGGAGGCCGTCTTGGGGCCCTCTTGAGCTGGCTTGCGCGCCTCTTGGGCCGTCTTGAGGCGCTCTTAGGCCGTCTTGGGGCCCTCTTGGAGGCCTCTTGGGCCGTCTTGAGGTGTCCTGGGGGCCCTTTACGCCGTCATGGAGCGTCGGAAAGCCGAACAAGCGAGAACGCCACAAACCTTCAAAAACTTCCGGACAAAACAATGATGTTTGCCTCTTGGGGCCCTATTGGGAGGCCTCTTGGAGGACCCCTTGGGGCATCTTGAGGCCGTCTAGGAACGATATTGCGGCGACTTGGGGCTCTATTTGACCATTTTGGGGGCCTTCTGGAGCCATCTGAGCTTGTGTTGGGCCCCCCTTGCCAGGGTAGGCCGACAAGAGCGACCCTGGCGGATCCCAGGCTGGCCCGGGCCGGCCTTGGTCCGGACCCTTCAAGGCTTACAGCTCTGATTGCAGCAGAAGAACAGCCCTCTCGATGCTGCATGAGCCTTGGGGCACACTTCGTGCCAGAGGCGGACGTGTCCATTGTTTCTCGGCGAGGACCATCGAGGAGCATGTTGGGCCATTTGGCGAAACATACGCGCGACACCGAAACATGCACGGGGAATGGTCGTCCGAGCGATGGCGAGGTGTGGTCGGCATGTGACTGTCTTGGCACCGGGCCAGTGGTGAATGACCATGGTCCCAGCCGCGCCAGCCGAGGAGAACGCCGGCGCGCCGCTCAACGGCGGGGCCGCCTGGTCGCGCCTCGTGGAGGAGGCCTGCCAAGGACCGCTGCCGGGGACCGCGGGCCCCACAGGGAAGGTCGGAGGGGCGGGAGGAGGCTCAGGGGCCGAAGACGTACTGGCTCTGTCGAGCTTCCCGCTCGATGCTCGTTCTGGGGATGTTCCTGAGACCCACCTACGGGACTCCAGTTCGACTCCAGTTCGACTCCGGCTCGACTCGGGTTCGACTCAGGTTCGAAGCAGGGTCGACTCGAGTGGACGGACGTTCGACGCAGCTTCGACGCACGAGTGGAGCGAGAGGCTCCAATAAGGTCCCCAGAATGGGCATCTAGTCCCTGAGGCCCCTGGGAGCCTCGTGGGAGCTTTGGGGACAACACGACGGCCAGTTTCTCTTGGCCCAGACCCCCCTTGGCCCCATCTCAGGCCCTGAGGGCGATCAAGAGCGCAGCGACGGAACAGCAGTCCCGGGGTTAGGGTCGAGGGCTCTGGGGAAGAAAGAGGAGGAGACGCATGAGGAGGAGGAGGAGGAGGAGGAGGAGGAGGAGGAGGAGGGCGGAAGGCTTGGACGAGGCGGAGGAGCGCAGGAAGAGGACGGCGGAGGGGATGGAGCGGGGTGGAGGAGCGCAGGATGAAGAGGAAAGGAGGAGGAGGAGGAGGAGGAGGAGGTCGGAGCGGGGCCGAGGACTGGTGGCCATCCAAAGCCATCTTGGAGGCCATGTTGGGCTCTCTGAGTTCAGTTTGCAACCATGCTGGCCCAAATGCCTCCCAAGGATGCCCCCAAGATACCAACAGTTGTTTTTTGCTCACAATATCTTTTCAACGATGGTTGCTTTGAGCGAACCAGGGTCCCCGATTACACCTGCACCTCTTTATCCCCAAAAGTTGCCTCGTGGGGCTCACTCGGGGCTGCTTAGAGCTATGTTGGGCTTATCCAGGGGTCCTCTTAGGCCATCTTGGAGCCACCTTGAGGCCCCAAGAGCTCATGGGGAGCGAGAAGGCGGGAAGGCAAAACACACTGGTCGTCCTTGCGTGTTGGAAGGATTTGGACTTTGGGGGGTGATGACCCATGGGAGGCTCCGTTGCCACTTGCGTCCGTCGCGGTCTGGGGGCCTGGCCTCTTGCAGGATGTTGGAGACCATCGTGGCCGATCTTGCGCTATCCTGAGCTATTTGGGAGGCCATCTTGAGTTTTCCTGGAGCCATTCTGGGCCATCTTGGGCGCTCTGACACCTCGCGGGGCGCACCATCCAGACCCAGGGGTAGGGGTCATGGGGGAGAGGTCAAGACACCCCCTAGATAGCAAGTCGTCTAGCTCACTCCCACCCGCCCTCCCAACACAGAAGTAATACCCAAGCTTGAGCATGTTCAGCGGTAGTCTTTGGATGGACAGCTACGGGGAACCAAAACCGACCCCATGTGCGCGACGTTTGGGCGAGATGCGCCACGCGTGTCAGGCGCGCCACGCGCGCCAGGCACCCCTGGGGCCCGGGCGTGCCAGGCACGCTTGGTGCGCCAGATGCGCCACGTGCTCCGCGTGCGCCAGGTGTGCCGCGTACTCCAGCCGCGCCAGGTGCGGCACGTTCGGGGCACGTGCAGAGTGTATGAGGTGCGCCTGCACACGTGACAGCACACATCGGGAAGCATGTCGGCCTCCACCATCCTATGCCCATCATTGTGTCTGGTGGGCCTGCGCACATCAGGCCATATGCCACCACCCCCGCCGTCCCTGTCAAACACCACTTGACAGTGATCGCGGGGTGGCCGCGCACTATCCAGATTTAGTCTCGAGGTGCATGTTGTATGTTTCCTGTTGCCAGGGATGGTAGCCCTGCACACAGCAGGCAACATGCTGACACCCCCGCCGCCCCTTATCAAATATTTCCCTGCGACGTACCCAACCCTTGTTTATACACGTGGCGTTTATATTCAGGACCACTCAAAACTGACTGGCATTCTGAAGGACCCGCAGTGCGCAAGAAGAGCACTCAGGAGTGCGATCAGAAGAGAGCATCAAGAAGAGGAACAGCACACATAAAACATGAAAACACAAGGGCGTTGAAATAAACACAAAAGCGTGGGGCGGCGAGGGCTAAACCAGAACATCGGTTTAACGTAGCAACGCGCTGCGCTGAACGAGGCAACTGCATGAGGTGCATAACGGGGGCGGAGACTCACCCAAAAGTGGAGACAACAGGGCGCGGCAGCGAACCCAGAACAGAGTCCAAAAGTGGAAGCAACAGGTCGCGACCTCGAGGATAAGCAGGAACACCCAGTCACCGCGTGGGAGTTACCTTCGTTGGGCCTCCCAGGAGCCCGCGAAAGTGGCGACAGTTGCGCAGATCGCAAGCCCCCCAGGGGGCGGCGAGGTACCGAGGTGATCCGCGTGGGACGTACCTCCGCTGGGCCTCCCAGGAGCCCGCGAAAGTGGCGACAGTTGCGCAGATCGCAAGCCCCCCAGGGGGCGGCGAGGTACCGAGGTGATCCGCCTCGGACGCACCTCCGCTGGGCCTCCCAGGAGCCTACGAAAGTGGCGACAGTAGCGCAGATCGCAAGCCCCCCAGGGGGGCGGCGAGGTCCCGAGGTGATCCGCGTGGGACGTACCTCCGCTGGGCCTCCCATGAGCCTACGAAAGTGGCGACCGTTGCGCAGATCGCAAGCCCCCCAGGTGGGCGGCGAGGTACCGAGGTGATCCGCGTGGGACGTACCTCCGCTGGGCCTCCCAGGAGCCCACGAAAGTGGCGACAGTTGCGCAGATCGCAAGCCCCCTATGGGGGCGGCGAGGTACCGAGGTGATCCGCGTGGGACGTACCCCCGCTGGGCCTCCCAGGAGCCCACGAAAGTGGCGACGGTTGCGCAGATCGCAAGCCCCCCAGGGGCGGCGAGGTACCGAGGTGATCCCGTGGGACGTACCTCCGCTGGGCCTCCCAGGAGCCCACGAAAGTGGCGACCGTTGCGCAGATCGCAAGCCCCCCAGGGGGCGGCGAGGTACTGAGGTGATCCGCGTGGGACGTACCCCCGCTGGGCCTCCCAGGAGCCCACGAACGTGGCGACAGCTGCGCAGGTCGCAAACGCCCCAGGGGGGCGGCGAGGTACCGAGGTGATCCGCGTGGGACGTACCCCCGCTGGGCCTCCCAGGAGCCCACGAAAGTGGCGACGGTTGCGCAGATCGCAAGCTCCCCAGGGGGCGGCGAGGTACCGAGGTGATCGGCGTGGGGCGCACCTCCGCTGGGCCTCCCAGGAGCCCACGAAAGTGGGGACGGTTGCGCAAATCGCAAGCCCCCCAGGGGGCGGCGAGGTCCCGAGGTGGTCCGCGTATGACGTACCTCCGCTGGGCCTCCCAGGAGCCCACGAACGTGGCGACAGCTGCGCAGATCGCAAGCCCCCCAGGGGGCGGCGAGGTACCGAGGTGATCCGCGTGGGACGCACCTCCGTTGGTTCTCCCAGGAGCCCATGAAAGTTGCGACATTTGCGCAGATCGCAGCCCGACGGCACGCGAGAAGAGGAGAGGGGAACACAGGAAACAGAAGAGAAGGAGGAGGGGAGGAGTGGGGAGGAGGAGGAAGGACGGGGCGACCACACTGCTCTATTCAGAACGAGAACCCAATACAGTAGGGGTGGGAGCAATACAAAGTGCTCGTGGGCCTCACCAACATGACTCAAGATTTTGCCCCAAAGTGTACCTGGTATTGACTGTTGACAGGAATGGTGGGGGGGGACGCATCGGGTTGGCCGCGCATGCTCCAAATGTGTTCCTGGTTGACCGCCGGTCGCCTGGAGGAGGGGCTGTATATTACTTGAGAGCAATAATCAAAACACCTCCTGCCCACAAGGCACAAGCCGTCCCGCTCACTCCCACCCGCACTCCCAACACATGAAGTAGCACCCGGTGGTCCCTGTCAAGGACATGTAAAGTGGTCGCGGGTTGCCCGCGCATGCTCCAGATTTGGAGGTAACGTGCATGTTGCGTTGTATTTTGTCAGGGATGGTTGCCCTGCGCGCAGAAAGCAATACGAGGGCACCCCCGCCGTCCCTGGCAAACATCAATGCAAAGTGGTCGCGGACACCGTGCTGCCAGCTCCACCTTGGAGTTTTTGGTACCCTGTGGCATGGACGCACAGCCTGTCAGGAGAGCTGGCCGAGCTGGACCTTGCCAGTCCAGATCGCGAAGTTCCTTCCTCTCGGCCGCAGCGTCACCATCGCGACGCTGGTGGAGAGGTTCCTGCTCCCCGAGCCGCTCCACGCCTGGAGCCTGCTCGTCCGTCAGCGCGCCCCCTGAACCGCCTCTGTCAGGCGACGGACCCTGCCTTGGCCTGGGGGCGGGGAGCCGTGAGAATGGTCGACAGGCCTCCGAGGCCGCTGAGGCGACTGACGGACTCCAGGGCTGTGACGTCGAGGGCCTCACGGGCAGCCAAGATATGGAGACGGTAAACGGTCACAGGATTTGCAAGCGCAGCTCGGTGGGACTTGCTTGCGTGCCGCTGGGGTCCTCCTGCATTCCCGCATGCGCAAGGTCATGAGCATCAGGGCGGTTTGAATCCGAAGGCCAGCGAGCCGCTGAAACACCTCGTCGCACTCCGACAGCGAGGCGTGCTTCTCAGCGGAGATGTCCGTGAGTGGCAGGACCTCTCGGCCAGTTTGGCGATGGCGCGTGCTGGCTGCATCTTTTCGCGGCCATGCGGCCGCCCAGCATGGGCGCCCTGCCTGCACGGGAGCTGTGAAGCTCAACGCGGCTGCCGCTTTGGGTTGTCGCACTGGGGCTCACTCGAGCGGTCCGTGCTTGCAGCGAGCAGCGCGCAGGCCATTGAAAAAACATCGCAGGGCGTGGCCGGGTCCACATGCGGCCCCCTGCCCATAGCGTGTCAATGTCGGCACGCCCCTCACGCGCCCCGTGGCCCCCCTTGCCCGGTGCGTGTCCATCACGCGCTTCGTGGCCCCATCGGGGACTCCATTCAAAGCCCCAGTGGCAGGGTCCAGGGCCCACCGATTGTCCATTTCAGCGCACCACTCACGCGTCGTGGCCCCATTTGAGGCCCCACACAAAGCCCCAGTGGCAGGGTCCAGTCCAGATGCAATTCCCCACCACCGATGGTCAATTTCAGCACATCACCACACGCTTCGTGGCCCCACAGGGAGCTCCGCACAAGGCCCCAACGGCAGGGTCCACATGCGGTTCCGTGCCCGCCGCGTGTCCGCATCAGCACATCTTTCAGCAATTTCGTGGCCCCACAGAAAGCTCCACCCAATGCCCCCTGGCTGCGTCCATATGCGGCTCCCCGCTCACCGCATGTCTATGTCGGCACAGTCTTTCACGCATTTCGTGGCCCCAGAGGGAGCTCTACAGAAGGCCCCCGCGGCAGGGTCCACCTGCGGCTCCCCGCTCACCATGTTCTTTCTTTGACACAAGCACACACCCATTTTGCGTCGGCGGCTAGGCAGAGGGACTGCTCTGGCGAAATGGGGATTCGACACTCGCATACACACACACACTCACACACACACACACACACACACACACACACACTTCGCAAACTTCGCGGCTGCATCGTGGCCCGCCCGAGCCTCGCCTTCGGTCGACTGTCCACTTGTTTGGCCTCGCGCCGCGGACGACGTCTCGGTGGAGTCCTCTGGGGCGACCAGCGCGCGTCGCGGGGAATCCCCTAGGGTCTGCCTTCAGGAGAAAATCCCTGACAGCCGCCCTTTTCTGTTTTGTCCCGTGCCGCGGACGACCCGCGCGCGTCGGTGGGGCGCCTTCCGGGCGACTGGCGCGCCTCGCGCGGGCTCCGCGCAGCGCTTTGCCCAGGGTTGTGCCAGGGCGGAAGGACAAAGGAGCGGAGCCACACGAGAAGGATGCAACACGGCGGCGCCCGGGGCTCGGGCCACCGCGGGCCAGGAGCGGCAACGCACGACGGAAGCAAAAAGAGGGGAGGAATGGTGGGCGAGGAAATCGGAACGAAACGGCGGCGCCTGGGGCTCGCGCGAAGCCGCGACGACTCGCCGCTCGTCGGAAGTCCCACCCAAGCCAAAGCCACAACGGTTGCTTCCGCAGGGCACCACCGCACCCATGTCTTCTCACCCTTTGCACGTTTCGTGGCCCCGTGTGGAATTCCACCGAAGACCCTTCTGTTTGCATAGCACCACCGCACTCATGTTTGCACACCCTTCACACGCTCCGTGGCCCCATCAGGAGCTCCACCGAAGGCCCCAGTGGTTGCGTTCGCATGGCGCCGCCGCACTCTCATGGGCACACCTGTCACACGTTTCGTGGCCCCCGAAGGCCCCTGTGGTTGCTCTCGCACGACTCCACCTCACCCTTGCCAGCGCACCCCTGACACGTTCCGAGGCCCCGTACAGCGTTCCACCCAAGGCCGTAGTGGCTGCGTTCGCATGGCGCCACCGCACCCATGTCGGCACGCCTCTCACATGTTTCGTGGCCCCATAGGGGGCTCCGCCGAAGGCCCCAGTGGCTGCGCTCGTCCGGCACGCCCCTCACGCGTTTTGTTGCTTCAAAGGGAGCTTCACCGAGGGCCCCAGCGGCGGCGTCCGCATGGCGCCATTGAGTTGTTCTTCGGCATACCCCTCACATGCTTCGTGGCCCCATAACGTTTTCCACCGAAGACCCCAGCGGTCGCGTTTGCATGGCGCCGCCGCACCCGCTTCGGCACACACCTGACACGTTTCGTTGCCCAATTCGGAGTTCAACCAGAAGCTGGAACCACAACGGGGTAATTATTCGCGTATGGTTCGTTATCCGCCGAGAGGTTTTGTAACAAGGGATGGTGGGTGGGGTGTTTGGTAACAAGGAACAGTGATCAGGTTACCCCCCCCCCCCCGAAGGACGGCCGTTTTGTTCACCCCCATCCGCCGCCCCACCACATCATCAACACCCGTGGGTCAGCATAGGCAGGGGCCGCCATTGGCAACCATCGGGAACCAACGCGCCCGCCAGCCAGTTGCGCGACGCACGCCCACGAAGCCGCGCGAGCCAAGGGACCCCCTCAACCCTGCCAAAAAACAATACAAAATAATCGCGGGGCGCCCGCGCATGGTCAAAGATGGTGCCGCAACGTGCACTTTGCATGGGGTTTCTGTACGTAGGTATGGTGGGCCTGCACACGCCTGACATTATCATGGCGCCCCCATGACTCCTGCCTAAGAACAATCGTGTAAGGTGATCGCGGTGCGCACGAAATTGATCCAGGTTTTGCCCCACTGCCCACATGGTATTAGTTTTGACAAGGAGGGGTGCGCATTGTTCCTGAACAAGGGGGTTGGAATAGGAATCGCGCTGGACCGCTTAGGCCTTGAGGGCCGATGGGGTTCGCAAGGGAGAGGAGAATTAGCTACCAGTCATCGCGCACCGATTCATTCACTTTCCATTGCCCCTCGTGGGACCCCCCTGCCGCCACAACATGCCGAAACTCGAAGCAATGCTCCCTTTCTCGCCCTCCCCAGATCTCCGACGACTCTACATTTTCGAGTCGCTAGCCCCACCTCTTCCCCAGGGCAAGCTTTTGATCCTGACCCGTTTTTGAACGTCCTGGGGTCCCAAATGGTATGTCATCACAAGGGGCCCAAGTTTGGGGAAAAACGGCAGCCTCGACTGGTCTGTGGCGGAGGACGCCTGGTCCTCCTCAGCGGGCCGACTCTCCGTGGACTCTGGCTGGGAGCCGCTCGCGGCCAGTCTCGCCTCCGAAGCGCCAGCGCGCGCTTCGAGCGAAAACGCCCAGGCCTGCAGCCTTTTTGGGGGCTCGAGGCCGGGCGGGCTCCGCGGCGGCGGCGGCCGTGCGCGAGCGGCACGGGGGCGCCGCCGCCGCCGCGGGCGCCGCACGCCCCGCGCAGCGCCCACGGCCGGCGGCGGAGATGGAGGTGCGACGGACGACCGGGCCGCCGACGGCACTCGGGCCATCGGCAGCTCCGGGGCCCGGGGCGCCCTGCGGGGGCGCGGCCCCCGCGCCCCCTGCTGCCGCTGCCTCTGCGGGGGCGGGCGCAAGGGCGGGGGAGGTTGGCCGTCGATCCGTCAGGGCGCCGAGAGGGGGAGTCTTCGAGTCCGAGGGCACCTGCGGGAGCCTCCGGGGCCCTCCGGGCGCTTCCAGAGGCCCCCCCCGGGAGATCTCCCGGGGGGGGGGGGCTTCGGAGGCTTCTCTTGGAGGGGTGGCACGGGGGGCTTGCCCAGGGGGAACGTGCGGTCTCGCCACAGAGGGCCTACCGCTGGCTTCAGCATCGGCGGTGTATCCTTGACTCCAGGTCGACGTGCCCCTCCCACTGAGCCAACCCCCATCCCTTTTGGCCCCCCTCTTCTCCCCGCCGCAGCCTGACCGGGTGACGCGGACCTCGCCGCCGCGGCTCGACCACGCCCCAGACCTCTGGCGTCGTGATCTTGGTCAGCGCGCAGGCCCCCCTCCCTCCACAACCTTTCCCAGTGGGCCACATTCTTCGTCCTGGTGGTCCCAGGGCCCGAACGCAGGCGCCGAGAGCGAGCCAGCGAGCGACGCCGAGCGAGCAGGCGCCGAGAGTAGCGAGCAATTCCCGTCTAGATGTTTTTTGTCAAGGCTTCGGATGTCTGGGCTCGCGGGTCAAACGCCGATTCCTCGATCCGTCTGAGGATGTGATTTGGCCAGACTTGCGGTGTGGATCCAGCCGTGGCCACGAGGGAGCCCCAGGAGGCTCAGAAATGTCTACGATGTCGATCCGCGAACCTCGATCCTCGACGTTGGAGGTCTGGGGTACCGCGGACCGTACCGCCGCGGCCCGACCTGGCGCCGCGACTGAGGGGGATGCTGTGTGACTCCGCGGCGATGCAGGGAAGGCGCCCGAAGCAGGAAGACAGGCGCCGGGGTGGAGAAGCAGCGAAAAGCTGGTGTACAGGCACAGTCGAAGATAGGTGGGCCTCGCGCCTTCTGAGAAGTCTCCTCCTCCTCCCCCTCCTCCTCCTGCCCCTCCCTCTCCTCCTCCGCCTCCTCCTCCGCCTCCGCCTCCTCCTCCTCCTCCTCCTCCTCCTCCTCCTCCTCCTCCCCCCCGTAGCCACATTGGCTCAAGGATCTTGGGGCTCGAACAATTCTGCCTGTTCGCATCCACCCCACAGAGTTTTTTGGTCACTTCCCACCAGCCAGCCATGCCTGCCACCTCTGCGAAGGAGTACCTCTCCATCGTGATCTGCGGGCATGTTGACACTGGCAAGAGCACCACCACCGACCGCCTCCACT